AGCTGAAGGCTTGTGTAATATTTGCAGTATTCAGAAGTGGTTTAACGGAAACACCGCATAAAGCTTAACAGTAGTTTATTTACTAACTTAACCACTAATACACAGGGTGCTTGATTTACTTTAGATTGGCGTCAGCAAAGCTATGGTTGTATTAGCGAGACTCTTGATGTCTGGCTAAACGACTCGTGTCCACTCGTGGAGAAACACCTAACTTAACACTTTCGCGCTATCTGGACGCGCCGGCGCGTCCCGTTTCGTCTAACGCTAACGCATAGTGGACATAAAGTTGAGTCCTCTTTTAAAATATTTGTATAAAATTCAATTTTTATCCGATTTACTTTGGGTTTGTTTCAAACTGCGCGCTATGAGGCTCTCTTTCTCACCACTAGGCTGCATGGTACAATAAGTTCATGAAAGGTGTGGATAACTTCGATCAAATGGTATTTTGTCCCAAACGGGTTGCAGGTGGGTGACTTTAGCCGTTTATACTGGTAATGCTTCCCCCATATCATGTATTATATGCATATGTCTGTTTAGGGAATTTTATTCCGATCAATATACAACCAAAAATAACTGTGTGCAACAAGTATAAACTTGACAAACATAACAAAAGTAAAAACATTTCGTGAGTGTTTGACGCTCACTGATATGTTCCAGCGTTGTTTTATATTTGGCAGTTGACAGCCAATCATTAACACGGCAACCTAACTGCCGGTATGCAAAGGGATCACAAGAGTTCCAACCGGATACTCGGTAATGATGATATGGAATAAATCAACAACTACACTGTCAATAACACTCGTAGGTGGCCTGACTGCTGGCTTCGCTCGTAGACACGGAGAGTACTTGCAGTAGGGCGGGCTGTATGCTTAACAGACAGACACCCGCACACACACTGGCGCTGGCGATGAGTAAGGTGGTGACGTCACATAGTAGTGAGGGCGGCGGGCGCCTCGAGGTACAGGTACTGGGGTACTGGGTACACGCTCGTGGCGGCTGGCGGCGGCTGTGGTACCATGCAGGTGCACTTGTGGTAAAAGTCACACACAGGTTACTTAGGCGGCGGCACTGCCTTAGTTCACTCTAAGTCACTCACAACGATCTTTGTCACCAGGGGTTACCTGATACCAGTCTGTTTTGCTCTGGAGATTTGTCACTTTAGGCTTCTGAATAATATATTCACACCCGTGATTCTGGGCGAGTGTATAGTACTGTATATTCTTCAGATGCTGAGTTAACTTGACAGTGAGGAATAGACGGTGTTCAGTCTATTGGCCGGTAGAACAGAACACATCCTCAAGGTTTGGTGTCCCTCACTTGAATGGTTTTTGAAGGGGTGCCGGGCATCTCGTGGCACACAACACAGAAAGAGTTGCAATTTGACCAATAGCATTGCAGCAAATGGGCGGGAACCAATCATATTAGCTCGTTCGATGAGCAGTAGCATGAGTGACGTCATGAACACGTCACAACCACGTCATAGCTGTTATTGTCCATCGCGCCGGTTGACCCAGAGGTCAGATGCTGCTTGCGTCTCCCCTCTACCATGCTGCACCACTGATGTACTCACTGACCCTTTGGAGTGGCAAATATGCCTAACTCCCGGTATCTACTTCCTGCCTGGACATACGGCGGCCTCCGTATTACAAAAGTGTTCCTGGTTAAGTGGGCATTCTGGAGATACCCAACATGCCAGGTCACTATCCAGGGTTAACAGAAATAGGACCTTGTGCACAAGATCGGTGCACTGTGAACAGCAATGAGCCATTCCAGTGAGCTGTGGGAGAATCTTGAGAGAGACTCTCTCACACAGGTAAATGATAAAATCCAGAAGTTGAAAATGGGTAACAGATTTATAGAGAATGAAAAGGAAATGTGTGAAACACTGTGCCTCTTATGCACAGGAATGTTAGCAGATATGTGGAAAAAGGCAAAAATAGTTCCAATCTACAAAAATGGGAGCAGATGGGGCCCTCTCAATTATAGGCCTCTATCATTGACTAGTGTGGTAGTCAAAGGACTAGAAAAATGAATTAAAACTTGTTATAAAAGACAGACAGCATGGCTTTGAACAGGAAGATCCTGTATAAGATGTCTTATTATTTTCTATGATAAGAGCCAGAGATTTTACAGGAAAGAGGTGATTTGGTTCACTGCATTTATCAAGACCTGAAAAAGGCCTTTGACAGGTCTGACATAGGAGATTGTTCGGGAAACGTACACAAATGGAGAGGTGACAGGAAAAATTTTGATATGGATGAAAAATTTTCTAATGAATAGAAAAATGAGAGTAGTGATCAGAGGTAGTGTATCAGACTTGAGAATGTCACGAGTGGAATACCACAGGGTTCAGTTCAGTTACACAAGTAATGTTCGTCATCTATATTTACGATCTACCAGAAGGAATACAGAATTATATGATGATTACTGATGATACCAGGGGAATATAAGAAATTTAGACGATTGTCATGCCCTTACAAATTACCTGGGGCAATATAAATGTATGGAGAAATACATGACAAATGGAGTTTTATGTGAATAAATGCCATGTTACAGAATGTTGGAATAGGAGATGGTAGATCACACAGCCTACAAATTATGTGAAAAACTTTAAAGAATTCTGATAAAGATCTAATGGTGGTTCTGGATAGAATACTGTCACCTGAGGACCACATAATGAACATTGTGTGAGGAGCATGTGCTACACTTTCCAACTTTAGAATCCCTTTTAACCCTTCGGATGCTCAAGCAATTTTAGCAAGCAATACTCGAGTGCTCATAAAACAAATTGCTCTGAAAAAATGATTTGTTCTTTTGACATTTTTTCTTTCCCGGATGCTTATTAACAAAGTCCAAAGAAAAGGGTCTCCATTTCTTATGGTTTAGCCACAGTGGGCAAGAGAATTTTTTTTTGTTTTTTTCAGTAGAAATGGGGCAAGGTGCCACACAGGAATAACTTTGCCCATTTAATTTCATTGTTTCTTGCTTTATTTATATAGTTATTTGGCTCTTAACAGATTATCTCATGTCAAAGCTCTCAAAATGTACAGTGGTACCTTCGTTTACGAATTTAATCCGTTCCCAGAGACGGCTCATAACCCGAAACGAATTTTCCCCATAAGAAATACTGTAAATTTAATTAATCCGTTCCACACTCCCCAAAATATTAACTTCAAAATAGATTTCATACCTAATTCACACAAATATTTAGTACTATATTATGTTCAAGTTATAACTTACCTTAATTGATGACTCTTGATGGCGTATGGAAGACGGTGAGGAGATGGTGGTGTTAGTGTTTGGAGGGGGGGGCGTGCCCTTCCATTATAACATGGCGTATGGAAGACGGTGAGGAGATGGTGGTGTTAGTGTTTGGAGGGGGGGGGCGTGCCCTTCCATTATAACATCATGCAGTGATGACTTCTCTGGGGTACACTCTCTCTGTCCTATGTTTTGCAGGCATCTACTAGAGCCTGGTTGTGACTCACTGCTTGTTGTCTCACTAAAACCCTTTCCATAGAGATTTGTTTTTCCTCTTATGTTCTCTGAGTGAACAGCGCTTCGGATTCATAGTCCTGTGGTTCCAGGTTTGATCCCCGGTGGAGGCGGAGACAAATGGGCAAAAAGTTTCTTTCACCCTGATGCCCCTATTACCTAGCAGTAAATAGGTACTTGGGAGTTAGACAACTGTTACGGGCCGCTTCCCGGGGGTGTGTAACAAAAAGGAGACCTGGTCGAGGACCGGGCCATGGGGACGCTAAGCCCCGAAATCTTCTCAAGATAACCTCAAGATATCCTCACGTGTGTTTTCTTAGCTTGAATCTTGCCACTGAATTTCTTGGGACCCATGATGTGGTATATCAAATTACTTTAATGTTTAGAAACAAAAAAGCTGAAAAACAATGAAATTCTTTACAAAGAATTCAAGCATAATTGTCACTAGGTGGGAGGCACTGATAAACTGAGGCGCAGTTGACCCACACGTGTATCAACAAACTCGCAACTTGAGGCAAAGCTCGTAAACCGAATCAAATTTTACAAAGAAATTGAGCTCGTAACCCGAAAAAATGATGAATAGGAGCATTCGTATAGTTCCACTGTACTCTGTAGAAAGGAAACAAGAGAGGTATCACATAATATATATACAAAAAAGCTACTGGAAGGCCAAGTCCCAAATTGACACAATAAAGTAACATACTGGAGTGAATAATATGGTAGGTAATGCAGGACAGAACCAGTGAAGAGTAGGGGTGCTATTTGCATAATCACAAAACACTGTATAGACATCATAGGTCTATGGTTTATTCAGTACTCTCCCAGCAAGCATGAGAAATGCTGCCAGAGCAAAAGTGGACTTCAAGAAACAATTAGACATGTTCTTGCAAAAAGTATTAAACCAGTTGAGTTGTAGTGGATATGTGGGCCTGCGGGCCGCTCTGAGCAACAGCCTGTTGGACCAAGTTATCACAAGTCACGCCTGGCCCCAGGTCAGGCTTAGGAAGTAGAATTCTCAAAACTCGTTCTAGAGTATTTACTCTAGGCTATCCAGGTATTTAAGCCAATTTGTGCATTTGAGAACTAACCGTGCTCTGTTTGAAAATACTTGTATCAAAGAGTAAATTTGTACATTAGTGAATTTGCATTGTTTTATTATGCTAGATTCAGAGGATCACTCTAATTATTTGGCTGGATATTAGTGTTGAAGTGGCTGAATACTTGTTACTTTATATTTATTGCTTAATATTGAATGTGTGTTTGTATTGCATGTACCGCAGTATAGATTCTGGTGGCTGTATGAATTGTCTGCCCCTTTCTATTCATTCATTTGGTTTTCCATATCTGTAATGTAATATATATTATGTACAGTATTTTATACAGTATTCTAATTTGAAAAAGTGCCTTGACCCTAATAATTATTAATTCCTGTAGAAGATGTGACACCATTCAAAGTAAACAACAAGGGGTATGGATGAAGGATAACTTGGTGATACTGTTAACAGGTTTTCTGATGCGCAAGATTTGATCCATCGGCTGTTTGTGTGCATCTCGGGTGTTGCCGACCAGCTCCAGACAAACTACGCCAGTGACTTGCGCAAGATCCTTAAGTGCGTGTTCCTCATGAATCAGTCCCCCCCTGAGGAGCCACCCAAGAGCCAAGGCAATGAGGAGCCTCAGTGGTCGGCATCTTCCCCTATACATTCCTATGAAGATGATGAAAATGCTGAAAACTCCATTGGTGGCAATGGTTTGTTGAGAGATACAGTATTGTAGTTTAGTCATTGGTAGCAATGGTTTGTTGAATGATACAGTATTGTAGTTTAGTATTTAATAAGTGCATGTCTTTTCAGATTTTTTAGGTATTGGGAATTGAAGATATTCCCATGTAGAAAGCACGACATTCAGTGGTTGAAACATTTTCTAAAGTTTTTGTGTGTTTAATAACTTGTGTTTGTTTCTAAGCATTTGATTTGCACAACTCAGAATATTTGCACCTAAGTTTGTTTGCATGTTTATAATGAATATATGTAAAAAGACTGCACAAAGGTTTGCACATTTTAAGCTCTACATAACGGAGCTAGAAATGGTGCACCATAACGCTGTAATAAAACAGAAGTGTTGTCTTTAATTTGATGATGGTATTATTTTGTTGAAGAGGAAACCCTCCCTCATGTGGAAGATAATCGTCTCTGACCCTGCATTTTTGAGATCTCACTACAGTGCGACCCCAATTATCACTACATCAGTTGATACTTTTGGGTAATTGAAATCCTGGATAGTTAAAGTAGAGGGAGCACTCAGGCATCTCGACACCAACACTGCTCAACTTATAAATTTACCCTAGGAATTTATTATTGATTTTTGTATTATGTGCATTTTATTTTGCCCAACTTGTTATCTATTTCAGGTGAGTTTGCCAGGATTTGTTATTTGGCCCACTAAATTCTGAAAATATTACCTAACAGACAGACGTATTTTACTGTTGTTGGTATATCAGCAGCTAACACACTTCTTCGCTCATTAATTTAAAAATATAATTTTCTGTGTTATATGAAGATCATGGCGTTAGGAAATGCAGTAGTGTATTTCTGATGCTTTCACTGATAAAATAGTGTAGATTGGTTGATAGAACCAAAGGGGGGGGGGGGGAGGCAGGACCAGGTGAGTGAAGGCCAACATGCATGTTGGTGAAACTCTGCCACCGCCTCGGTCTGCCACCGCCTCGGTCTCTCACTGCTTCAGTCTCCCACACTGATGGGTGGGAGTGAGGGAGGGGAAATCGCATCGTGCGCGCTCCATTAAAATCTTGACTTTTACCAGGATTTCTTAGGACTACTGCCGTGGATTACCGATTACAGACATCACAAAGTGCATAGTGACCCATTGGAAGGTTGAATATAGTCATTAACAATGGAACTTTGTGTTAAATAGAGAATAAACATGAGACTGACCGCGTGGGATTAGTGCCACGAGGCTCTTAGTGTACATGCGTGTAGGCATACATGAAATACAGTGAACTGTGATACGTGGAACAGTGAAGTGGATTGTGTAACACAACACATATAAGTTGGAAGTGTAGGAAAATCGTGCATAGAGTATTAGAAAGATCGGATATTATAAATACAGTATAGAATAGTGGCAAGAGACGGCATTACACTGGCTGTGTTTATACAAACCACGAGGCCTACCCAGGGCACGTCCCTCAGTGATAATATACGGACAATATATAGTGTAACATGGAAATGTGGATCTAGGAATTAGTAATAAAGTGAGTGAATACCATTTCAAGCTGGAAATTAGGCAGAGAATTCCTAGTAATAATACAAGCAAATAATAAATCAGTGTTATAAATCGAGTAACTGGAAACTGTGACATCCATCCTGGGAAAACAAGGGTCAATGGTACATCACACCCGATGACATATGATACGCTAAGTACCTGGCCATAAGATTTGAACAGAGTAACATATAATAATATAAATATATGGTATACATAAAATATTATAAATATATACATGTAATATTGTAAATAGTAAAATTACTGAAATCAACAAGTGATCCATATAGTGAAGCACAAATACAGTACAATACATCAGACAATGGAGGTGTGTGGCGAGTGTTTGGATGTATTTAAAAGACATACTGTAGGCATCAAGTGTTGCATCTGTAACATAAGATTTTACCTGAGCTGTGCAGAATTATCTCGAGCATGCACAAACAGTCAAGGAATATACTGGGTCTTCAAAAAGGACAGGTTAATATGAGAAAATATAACTCAACTGATGACAAACATTCCCGAGTCAGAGATTATCATTCACAGAAAAGCTACCAGTGATATATACGGACTGTGAAGAGAAAACACTGGATAACGACCAAAACTCAGGAACAGATAGTTTAGAGAACCGCAGCAGTAGTGTGGAGGAAGAGGGTATTGTGGTACAAAACAACAGCAATATTGCAGAGCCAGATAATATAAACAATGAGAGCAACAGTGGGAATGAGTGCACAAACGAAGAAATTGTGACGAAAGACGGAGATGGCTCTAATAAAGAGGTAGACAAGACAGACACAGGTATAAATATCTTAAAAAAAAACTAAAAACTGAAAATATTTGCAAATTCTATACACAAGGAATATGCAAATACGGAAAATTAGGTGCAAAATGCACTTTTCTGCATCCTCGAAAATGCGAGGATTTGTTGATCGACATGTTGGCGAGAGGTACATGCCGTTTTTGAACGGAAAACAGATACTCCATCCTAAACTATGTCAATTTTCAATAAGGGACAAAAAATGTTACAATCTTCAGTGTCCGGAATTCCACGTGAGAGGTACACAGCAATATGATACTACTGAAAATTTTGTAGAGGAAGGCAGAAACAGAGTAGAACATACAAAAGAGAGGAACAGTCAGATAGAACCACTGCAGGATTACAGAGGGGAAGGGAGATGCCCACAAGACTGGAATACAAATCAACAACAAGCACACAGGTACTACACCACACAATACCCGTACTACTACCAAAACTGGACGAACCACTACCAAAACAACACACCCTGAACCTGGGTGGACAGGAGAGAGAACTATTAAAGCCCACAAGAAGTGACACGCAATATGGGAAATCATTCATATTTGCAAACATACAAGGTCTAAAACCAAATTCAAGAAATAAAGTAAAGTTCAAAAATGGCCTTCTAATAGAATCGAACTCAATATTTGGTGCATTTACAGAAACCCTCACAAAAGACCACATGGATAGGGAAATCTGGATCACAAACTAAATCTATATAGATGTGACAGAGTAATTAGGTCAAGTAGAGGAGTAGGCCTGTACATTAAAGAAGAGCTGGCATGCACAGAGCTCCTGAACTCGAGCAATGAGGTGGTAGAGGTACTTGGGATCAAGGTAGATAATATAAATCTTATTATTATTTTAACCCTTAACATGCTCGGGGTCTAATATCCTGCTATCCACACAGGCGCATGTCATTTTGAAAAAAAAAAAAATTTTTTTTTTTTTGCTAATCTGTTAAGTTCTGTTCACTGATCACGGGAAAAATAAAAAAAAAATTCTATTGTACTTACTTTTGTTGCAATAGAGCCGAGAAGCTCGGTGATGACGTCACAATCTGCATGTTCGCTCATGCAGTACACGCCCGGGAGATGTTGCGCGCGGTCCTCAAACAGCCAGAGTTGCCACAAATATATTTTCGCGCTATTTATTTACAATGTCTAAGCGCATTTTATCTAATTTTTTTTCACTAATTGTGTTTCAAATACTGTTTGAACATATTTTGTATCAATAATTGTTGCATATTTGAGTATACACAGGCGCACACAATTGTTTTCAATTACGGCAATATAATATGTCATTACAGTCTATTATATTGTATGTTCTGCTTATATTTGTATATATTTACACACACGCACACGCTATCTGCTTATATGTTTACATATTTACACACTCGCACACGCTATACACACTTTGAAGCACACTTAGAAGATTTCTAGACTGTGGTAGTCATTGAAGCAGTCGACAGCACATAATGGGATACCACACGTTTCACACCATGTTTGCACAAGCTTCCGTTTCTTGTCTCTACGTGTCGTTGTTTTACACACCAAGCAATCACGTTGGGCTATTGCACGCTTCACACCAGGTGGCAAATACTTAAGTTTGTGTGCTAGGAAGCCTTCAGTGTGAGCGAGGCGTGGAGTACCAGCATGCTGCAACAGTGGGTTTATGATGGGCCGCTGAATACCTGGGACATCTTTTGCAAACTTTCCTAATAACTGTATTGCAGCATCAAATACAAAGTCACGGAAAGTGGGCTTACGTCCAGTTCTCACAAGGTACATGTTGAAACAGTTCAGCATGCTCATGTCCACAAGATGGAAGAACACTTTTTTCGTCCACCTACATGTCTTCCGCACACACTCTGCAGTGCCAATCATCATGTCTGATTTATCAATCAACCGCATGTTGATATTATAGTCTAAAACACAGTCTGGCTTATATAGTGGTGCGTTTGTTTTATGGCTCACTTTCCCACTGTTCACCATTGTTCCATCATGAATTGTTGTCAACAAGTTCACCTCTCTTTTGTCTTTCCACCGAACTGACAGAATGTTATCACTTTTCCTTCTCTGACACTCACCAACTGCAATGTCGTTGTCAAACACAGGCATTTCCCTTCGTTGTGGCTTTACTGTACCAACCAATCCGGTTCTATTTTCTAGCAAGAACCGAGCTAGCAAGGGACTTGTATAGTAATTATCTGTGTATAAAATGTGTCCTTTGTTCATCCACGGAGCCATGATGGTCTTCACTACACTCCCCGAGAATCCATGTTCGTCGTTACCGGGAATGTCTACATCACTAGCCTAGTACAGAATCATGTGTAACACGTATCCTGTCTCACAATCACAAAGAACAAAAAATTTCAGGCCAAATCGGTTTCGTTTTGAGGGAATGTACTGTTTGAATGGAACACGTCCCTTGAAAAGTATGAGAGATTCATCAACCACCAGCTTCTGTGCTGGTACGTAAAAATCTCTGAATTTTCCAATAACATCGTTCATGTAGTGCCTCACTCGCCACAGTCTATCATCAGGTGTTCGGTCCTGAACACTTCCAAAATGTAGACACCTGAGGAGTATCTGAAACCTGTCTCGTGACATATATTTCCCGAATAAAGGTGTTGGTATTGTCTTGTCCTTGCTCCAATAGTCATTTATTGCATGTTT